GGGTGTTTTTATAAGCCGCTTTGAGGGCCAGAGGCCTTCCCATGTTCCTCCTTCTTATGTTTTTAGAAGAACTGCAAGAAGCCCCCTTCATGGTCTTCAGCTTTCTATGGAGAGGGGGGCATGGACACAGGGGGCACCCCCACTTCTAAAAACAACAGACTAGTCCCCATTTTTCAGAGGTCAGTTAAGCATTTTCAAAGAACTACAGCCGATAGCATTAAACCCAAAACTTAAAAGCTTTGAAAAGGGGGCTAAGAAGCAAGTCCCAACCCCTAAACCCATCAGTTCACAATCCAGGCAACAAAGGGGTTTTGACAGGTTGTCCTGCCGTCCCACACTAGACCACTATGACAAGGCCTGGATCGTAGAGATAAACGAAATGCAAGTAGTATATACAACTTTGTGAAAGCCTTGACAAGTGTGACCACAATGTAATAGCGCACAAAATGCTTGATAGAGGAAAAAGGAAAATTGGTAGATGGATTTGAAAATGTCCTAACAAATAGAACACAAAGAGTAACGGTAAAGTCCGAGGCAGCTACAGTGAAAAGCTCTGTTCCACAAGGCACAGTACTCACTCCCATCCTATTCCTCATCCTCAGAGATGTAAGCCATAGCTCTGTGTCTACCTTTGCAGATGACACCTGAATTGTCATGACAATGTCCTCCACTGAAGAAAACCGCAAGACTCCAAGCAGAACATCAACCAAATCTTCAAATGAGCCACTCAAAACAATATGAAATCAGTGAAGAGAAATTTTCAACTACTCAGATATGGAAAAAATGAGGAAATCAGAGCTGTATCAGGGGACATATACAACAAATTCAAAACCCCACAATAGAACAAAAAAGTAATGTGAAGGACCTGGGAGTGGATAATGTCAAAGGATCTCACCTTCAAGGACCACAACAATGTATCTACTGCATCTGCTAGAAAAAATGATAGGATGGATTTATGAGAACCTTCAAAAAAGGGATGCCAAGCCCATGATGATTCTTTTTCAGGCTGTTCTCTCTAGCTGTAATACTGCTGTACACTAACTGCCCCCTTCAAGGCAGGCAAAATTGCTGACCTGGAAAGTGTACAAAGAACTTTCGCGGCACACACATAAGTACGATAAAGCACCAAAAATTTCTGGGAATGGTTGAAGTCCCTTGATTTGTATTCCCTAGAAAAGCAGGCGAGAAAGATACATGATAATGTACACTTGGAATATCCAGAGGGATCGGTACCAAACTTGCACACAAAAATCACTCCCTATGATAGCAAAAGACTCGGCAGGAGATGCAACACTCCCCCAGTGCAAGCAGGGCTCCAAGATACACTGAGAGGCAGCACAATAAGTGTCATGGGCCCAGGACTGTTCATCTGCTTCCCAGTATACATAAGGGGATTACCAATAAACCCCTGGCTGGTCTCAGGAAGGTGCTGGACAGGCCCCTAAAGTCAGTACCTACTAGCCGGACTGTGGTTCATAATATCATTTTTGCGTGCAGCCAGCAGTAAAAACCCCTGGTTGATCAGACCCTGACCCCACCATGAGGCCTGGTCTTAGATAAGGTTGCAGGGGCATTGACCCTGAAACCCTCTCTAGGAAATAACCTTGTGTTTGCCATTCATTGCCTTGTCTGCTTCAAAGCCTGCATTAAACTGTCCACATTATTTGGAAGAGTTAGCCAGAAATATTTTTTCATATTTGAGCAATAGTCCTAAACACCAAAAATAAATTAAAGAATTTTCAAGCATTTACAAATACCATTCCTCAAAAAATTTTCCCCCATTAGCTGCACAAGATGTAAGTACATGTAATGATGTAAGTAAATCAATATTAATGGGTCTTTCAACATATACATACATTAGGATAGATGACATTTATTGTGGTCCATTGTGGAAAGCATTGCTTGATGATTCAATAAAAATTTCCTAGAAAGAATTGCAAGAATTTCAAGTAAAGAATTTTAAAAATTTTGTTTGCCTTACAGAAACAATGTTTTAGGCACTTTTAATCTTTTGAAATGTTGCAAAATTGGAGTTGCAAAGAGGCATTAGACCCACCAAAAGAGCTTTTGTGATAAAATGTACAAAAAAGATGGGATAGTGAGAAGCAGTTGAGGAAAACATTCTCTTTTAACAAATAAGGAAGTTGAATGTATTTCCTCAATTTCAAAGGTTTAGTAAGAGAAAAGTAATGTAAGTTAAATGTATATTTTTTTTTTTAAGATGCTTATAAGGGTTATTTTATTGGTATATAAGACTTGGTACGTTTTTGTGTTTTTTGGTACCTTTATGCAAAAGTTTGGTACAGTACTGTACTATTTCAGAATAAATTTTGGCAGCCCTGCTTGTCGGCAAAAGTGGCGTATATGCACCAATGATATTTACATTTTACAGTTTAATAAATGCCAAAGTATGATTGCTTTTATTTTTTTGTACACATTTCTTACAATATAAAATGTGTTTCAAGGTATTATAGTAGTATACGTACTTAAAAAAAGGGGAAATGTTCTATCCACAAGGAATACGTATAGTTGTTTTTAAGGTATATTACTCCTCAAAAAAATGGACATAAGTCATTTTGTTTGTCTCTATTGGTTATTCTATTTTTAATCATTTTGTTATGACATATTTCAAGGTTTAATACTAAATATAGTCACATTGCTTGACTATATTGCTAGACTACATTAAACTACAAGTGTGTACTTTTAAACGTTCCCCACATTTTTAGTACATAAACTGTAATAAATCTGGATGAATAAATATCTTCCGCGACCCCCACTCCATTGCGGGAGGGAAGCTGGGTGTGGAACAACGGGTCCTTGTTTAAATTTTTACAGAAAATTTATGCTAGTTAGGCATTTTAAACCCGGGGAGGCACTATGGGGACCCCTCGGTCTTAAAAATTTTTTCAAAGGCATGAAGCGGTTGGAGGAGACCCATTTAAAATTAAATTAAAATTATTTATTTTTTTAAAATCATCAAGTCAGTTTATACATTTGAAATAGTTACATTTTGGAGCATTATTTTATAACGCAGATAGAAGTTGAGACAACATAAGTCTCAGAGCCACTAATTATCAAATGCATTTCAGGCAAACAAACCCAAAAACCTTACTACTTATTTTTTAGACATAGAAAAAATTTTTAAGTCAATAAGCTTGGGTAATTCATTACAGCGTAAGTACAGTGAACGTTTTGCAAATGAAGAATTGGCGGGTGTCGATTTGAAGACAAAAAACTGTGCGTTTTAGTACATCAAACACACAACATCAGTTGCATACTGGTATTTTGGACACAGTTAAGAGGTAAAGTCATTTGTTTCTCTTCAGAAAAATAGTACTCTACACTAGAAACCCTTTATAAGGCAAGCAAAATACAAATCTTGAGAATATACATTATTATTAAATCAAAAAAAAAGCCAAAGGGCCAAAAGGGCTAAAACGCTTTGAGAATGTACAGATAGCCTTTTCTGGCAGTATAAAAAAGTCTAGCACCAAAATTTATTAGGGGATGCTTGAAGCCCCTTAAACTCTATCCCTTGGAATGTGGGCTAAAAAAGATAAACATATATTTCCGGGAAAATTCTGGGGGATTGGCTCAGACTGCACACAAAATCTTTTCCAAAATGAAAGCAAAAAGGCTCACGATAGTTGCAAAAATCCCCATAAAAAGCGGGGGTGAAATGAATAACAGAAAAATATAAAGCCCAAAGGCTTTTCAACAGGGTGCCATTCATGTGAAGGGGGAATTACCGCAGAGCCATTTTTCAAAGAGGGAATTTGAAATTTTCCTTAGTCAGCCCCTGACGCTGACTGGGGAGCATATGTTAAAAACTGCATGCAGCAGAACCGGGAGCCTAGCGAGGGGGCCCTAAACCGGAGGCCGGGTTTTGAGATTCGCGTGTGAGAAACAAACAGGAATTAGTAGAAACCTTACTTTCAGACAAAAGGGAAAAAGGGTGTCGGTAATCCCAGTTGTATTTAAATCCAAATGAAGAGATTACCATTTTTAAAATTAAAAAAACAGATTTTCTGGATTTAAGAATTTGCTCATTAAATTCAAAATTAAATTTTCCCCCACATTCGTAACAAAAATTTGAAATTCTAAAATAAGTAACTTTTGCTAAATCCGAATCAATTTACTCATAGGATGTACTAGTAATGGATAATTCTAAAATTTAATTTAACCTGCCCTTTGTTTCGGGACATGTCCAAATTTTTTTTTTTTAAATCTGAAATCCATGAAAACAAATTTTTCTTTAATTGAGGTTTTGTTATTCATAAATTTTGAATTAGAAAGGGACCTCTTAATAACTTAACCCCTTAAATCTGGGAAATCAGCTGCACTAAGCTTCATAAGAGTACTGTAGTCTGCAAGCCATTATTGTGTTTGGGAGAAGCCAGTCCTACTGATAAGGAACTTATCCAGTAGCTCTTTCGGCAACCAAGAAGCCCCTAGAGAAAGTTCATCCGTTCCACTGGTAGTATTGCAGATCACCCCTGAATCTGATTCCAAATTTTCCATAATGTGAAAGAGGAGGGATGATCCTTGCTGGAGCATAAAAGTGGTTGGCAGCTCCAGGATAAGGTCCTAAAAGTAGCTGCAACTTCAGGCAATATAGTTTTTTTCAACTGGGTCTTTTATAGCACTTCTGAGTGATTCAGTAGATTTTTAATTTGAAATGGTACAAATTATTATTCTTTTTTATATCACCTCTGAGTGATGCAGTAGATTATTTAAAATGGTAAAAAATTTTGTTGTCTAGGTAACATAGTAAAAGATTTAACAGTATTTGATTTTATGATTCTTTTGGGAGGATTTTGATTATATGTGTGGTTTAATAAATAATTTTCTATTTTCATATATTATCTGTTGTGCTTTTTTTTATGGGGTCTATGAACATTATCACTACTCATGCAGGTAAAGCTTTCAGTTACATATTTGTTGGGTTATTTGTATTCTAATCAAGCTATCAATACTCTCCAGGATTATCCTTCCTGAAGGAGCACAACCGGGCCAGCTGGTGGCATGGTGGTTGATAATGGCCATTCGGTGGTGGTATGTAAGGACTGCTACTCTTCGCTCAATAACCAGGTGAGTCTCCATCCCCCTTTACCGTCTGTGCTCGGGTGTGTCATCCCACATCACATCTGGCTGTGTGGGTATCCTTATCCCAGCCTTCGTTTCATTTCTTTACATTAATGACATACATGACATATCTTGGCCATATTTTCAGTCTCCACATCAAGTTGCTGTTTGCTGCGGGTTTGCTGAAGTCAGGTAATGGCATCTTCTGATAACGCATGGACTTTGATGTTGCAGGATCTTCCAATTACTGATAATGATGAAATCTGGTGTAACTTATCTCACATGTACAGTACATAGAGTTGGAGAGATGGGGAGTACCAGTGGAGAAGAGGCAGTACAACTGGATTCAGCGCCCTCCGCCGCCAGAATTCCAACAGGGCACCACAAGCAAGCCCAGCCAGGGGCCCACCTTGGGCATTCAGTCCATGTTTGTGGAGCCTGGCTCATCTAGCCCAGGCTCTCATCCAGGGACTCCCCCTGGGATCTTGTCTCAGCCAGGAGGTGGGGGCAGCCCCAGGGGATCTCATGGCCCAGTATTGGGCTCTCCCAGTGCGGTACGTGTGTCTTGGTTTGTGTGTGGCGGCCACCTACTCTTACCCCATCAGCTATGCTTCAGGCTCACCTGCTCACTGAGTACAAGTGATGCTGTTTCACAGATGAAAATCAGCTCTAAATCTTTTAATGAAAATAAAATATCAGCTGTATTTAATGTTCTTGTATACAGTATATCTTGTTAGACAGCATATTAACAACTTGATAAAGTTTGTGAACAGCTATGCTTATAAATTTTATTTTTGTAAAACTGAAAACTTGCTTAGTTTTATGTAAATTGACAGTATTGCAGGTTTCTGTTCAGCATTAAACTAATGTATAAATATTTTCATTGTTTGAGCATAGCTCTTGGCTTGGACATTGATGCATTGCTGTTCATAAATTATTTTTAATCATTTACTGTTGCTTGCTATTCCTCATTAGGCAGCCTCATACCCGTCTGGATTTTTGGAATCTCCTATGACGTACTATAATGGTAAGAGGTAGTAGCAGTAATTGAGCAAGTGTTAGGCATGCATTCAGTGACCTGGTGTACATTGTTTGCATGATTTTGTAGCCTTGGCTTGAATTTTCATTTATCCATCTTATTCAGAGTTTAAGTTTTTACCAATCACTGAGAAACAAAGTGAAATGTTTTCCCTTATTATTAATTAATAATACTTTGAAGTTATACACTTAAAACCACTATCCCAATTTTTCAAGCTTTCAATGCTTTTCTTAAAAGAACTAAAGAGAAGGTGGCCATACCCCAAACTTTTAATTTTCCTGGCACGTGGCAAGGCTACCAAGTCACAAGTCGTGACTGCTTCATCCAGCAGAATCATAGCATCATAATGAAGCATGAAGAAAGACACGGAAGAATAGACAACCAATGAAGGAGCTCAAAGGACCAAGATTTTTGTACTAAGAGACCAGGATGGGCTTCTGTCAACGTTAATAAGAGGTGGAAGTGTTTAGTAATAGTGGCTTCGGTTGTTTCTGGCCAGATAGATGATGGCTTGAGTCTTTCAGGTTTTCTTTTATTTATTTCTCCTACTGCACTTTTGATCTGCTCTTTCTGCATAATGCATGCTTTTTCACCCTTTTTAATTACTAGCATTTTTCTAACTGATCAACTCATGTAACGCAAATAATTTGTTTTACATAGTAAGTAGCAAAATCCCCTCTCAAATTGTTTGCGTTACCTGTTGAAAAATGTATAGTGGCTATACATACAATAATTATTTCAACTTGTTTAGTTGCATAAAGTATATGACAACAGTCTTCACTGCATTTTTGTTGTGACTTTAATATAGTAAAATGCAGTCTTTTCTCATTTCTACAGTTTTTATAGCAGTTGTTTAAAAAGGAATTAAGAAAATAAATGAAATCTACTTGGTGTTTTGGTCTAGTGGCTTTGTTGACAGATGGCCTACTTTCTCATTTTTCATATGTTTCTTCAGACAAGTGATGGTCCTGGGTCACGGTCAGGTGCAGTCAAGCTATGTGAAGATCCTCCATCGCCAGCCACCAATGCTATTCCCAAGTTAATTGGAGCAAGCAATGTCCCTATAGATTGTAATGAAACATCTTGTGTTGGGAGTATCCCCTCCTGTTATGCCCCCCTTCAGCTCAAAATTGGTGTCGCCAGGCAGGGGGGCAACACCCTTGCCAAGCAGCACACAGTGGCACCCAGTGAAGGTTTCAACTCTGGCGATACCAAGCAACCAGGACTCCCAAAGCAAAAATTCACTTCAGTGGACCAGTCCCTCAAGAGCCACAATAACGAAAACCTTCTTGCAGCCGACCTCTCCAACAAGCATGTCTCCTCCAGCAAAGCCACAATCACAAACCAACTAGATGGTGATAAAGTCACTCATAAGAAGAGGAAGTCTGTAATTAGAGGTGTGTTTTCATAGATTCAGTATTGAATATGTAGACCAAAGTACATCTTCGAAAATTTAGTTTTTTGTCAATGAAATGGAAATATTTTACTGTACAAGGTACTGTTCTTAATCTTCCAAAAATGTCTTAATTGATATATTATTATTTATTTATTTATTTATTTTGAGTACTGTATGTTTCATAAGATTCTTAACTTTTTAATTCCCTAAAAAAGATTTTGCATTAAGCTCGCATGTAATTGGAGTACACGCATACCTAGAGAAGCAGTGATACACAGGAGAGATGTCAGCATATGCTTAGAGAAAGTACAGTGCAATTTTTACTTCAGAAATGCCTGAATTGCATTTGAAAATTTAAGCTTTGGTTTAAATTTATTAATTTTTTAATCAAAAGTTTTAGTGTAATAAATAATATTAAAATGTTTACATGAATGTTTATTGTAAGGGTGTAAATGAAAATACAGTTAGTTTACAAATACATTTTTGAAGCCTTTGATGTGTTTGTCTTAGGACACCTTGCATGAGAAGAGATTATGTAGAGTAATTAATTAATACAATACATAACCCTTAACAGGGATGAATAATAAGGCAGACCCCACAAGTAGCACCAATACCAAGCCCCGACTCTCATCGTGCAGTCAGCAGCTGCGGACGTCCTCTTATGAGCTGCAGGCCAAGTGTTCATGAATCCTGGAAGTAATATACCAGTCTTCCCTAAATGAACTAAAAGTATGAATTCTCACTGCGAAAAAAAAAAAAAAAAAAAAAAAGCCTACAGTTGTTGATATGGCTTCGCTTGCCATTTTGTCAGCATGTACCATTCTGTTTCAAAAGAAATCAGAAATTTTAACAGTAAATTTGACTTCTTGCCAGCATATTTAATGATTAAACAGTCTGTTGTACCATGTGTCAACAGCCACAATATACTCTATATCTAAATCATGTGTTTGGTACAGGTTCAGCCTAGCAAAATTTGAAGTGAACCAGCTGCATAATTTATGAAGATAATTAAAATTTATTTTAGGTTCTGTTTGTGCTTAAAGCTTTATTTGTACAATTTATGTAAAGATATAGGGGCAAAACAAAAAAAAAAACAGAATTTTCTTAGCCAAACTTTGGACTTGTGTATTGATATAAAAATCACCTTGGTTTCAATATCAAGTTTAAAAGCATTTAGCTTCAAATAGTAATATCTAACCACCAAGTCACAGTATTGTATTTACAATTTTAGAGCTTAAATAAAACAAACTGAGGAATGTAATTTTGTTAGCAAAGTTTAATATGTTAATGAATGATTATGAAGTTTCTCAAACATTGTTTCAGGCAGTTTAGATAATTTATAATATACATGACATAATTAAGTTACTACATCTACTGAGTGTTGATGAAAAATTATATGACTGAAACAGATATTTTAAATTTAAATATCTGAAACTTTTAAACTTAGTGTTGAATTAATTAAATGCTGAAAACCAGTTTTATCAAGGGGATTCAGAATGCGTAATTCATTAATTAATATTCAGTCAATTTTTTTATGTTATATAACAATAAGTATTTAAAAAAATTATCATAGCAGAAATATGAGCAGGATAAATACTATACTTTTATCCTACCTACCATCATCTAAAATAATTTTTTGTCAGCTGAAGATTTCATTCGCTGCTATCATTAATCATTGTCCATTTATTATTTTGGTAGATCCCTTATTGGGGCTTTTGGGTAACAGTGCCCTAATACTGTCATCATTTTAAACTACACATGATTGTTTAATCTCCATGGGGAAGTAGAACAGAATTTTTCCCCTCCATAAGCCATGCGTGTCATAAGAGGCGACTAAAATGTTGGAGCAAGGGGCTAGTAACCCCTTCCCCTGTATAAGTTACTAAATTTAAAAAGAAAACTTTCATTTTTCTTTTTGGGGCCCCCCTACCTTGGTGGGATACAACTGGTTTTTTTGAAAGAAGAAGATGATTGTTAAATATTATTTGTATTTCAGATTTGGAAGTTTTAAAGTTTTTTGGGCCAGAGTCTCGGGTAATACAAAAATATTATACAGTGGTCCCTCGTTGTTCGTAATTAATCCGTTCCTGGAGCCGTTACATAAAACGAAATTTCGTTTTACGAATAAATTTTTTCCCCATAAGAAATAATGTAAATACAATTAATCCGTTCCTGACACCCAGAAGTATTAAAAACAAAAAAAATTTTTAACATGAAATATGCATTAATACATAAACAATACAATGGGAAATGATGAATGAAACATTAACAGCATAACACTTACTTCATTGGAGATTCTTCTTAGTGTATGGAGACTGGAGGAGGAGAGAGGTGATTGTTTATAGTTTGGAAGGGAATCCCCTTCCATCAACACCTCAGGTACCATTTGCTTTTCTGGAGTTGCTTCTCTTCTCTGTTTCTTAATGCCACAGGACCACCTTGAGAGTCACTGAGTCCTGTCTCACAAAATAACTGTGGAGAGAGCTCTGTTTCTGCTTCTCTTTAACACTTCCCTAAAATAGCCCAAGACCTTGTCACTGTACTAAAGCCAAACCGGGCTTGCAACAACCTTGTTAGGGTGTGTTTTCTCCATAAAGCTTTCCATCTTACCCCACATAGTAAAAATCTCTTTAATTCTGAAGAAGGCACCTTCTTCCATCTCTCTTCCTCCTCCTCTGCAGAAAGATTCTGAGCTGCGATTGTTCCCTTTTCCCTGCTGAAGCTCTTGCAGCTCCTCATGGTGAGCTCTTCATTGTGCCCTTCCACCAATTCTTCCACATCCTCCAAACTCACATCCAACCCCATGAACTCCCCAGTGCCAAAATTGATTTTACAACAGACATAGGCTCATTAGGGTCAGTCCCAAATTCTTCAAAATCCCTCTTGTCAACACAATCTGGCCACGTTTTCTCCAGGCAGAGTTCAAAGTCCTGGTAGTCACTCCCTCCCAAGCCATACCAAAAAGGGGTTATGCAGTGGAGGATGCTGAAGTGTTCTCTCCAAATTCCCTTAGGTCAAGGAGTTTTTTGTGGTCACAGTCAAGCACCTGTGAAACATTGCTTTTGGTGTAGAGTTTTTTAAAAGTTTGCAATAACCTGCTGGTCCAGGGTTGAGGAGAAGGAGTGGTATTCGGGGGGAAAAACTTACTGTGATGACCCAAACTCCTCGAAAATTGGTCATCCAAGTCTGGAGGATGAGCAGGTGCATTGTCCATTACTAGCAGGCACTTGAGATCCAATTTTTTTTTCCAGAATACTCCTTCACACTAGGGCCAAAAAACTTCATTGAACCACTCGACGAAAAATTTCCCTTACTATTAGATTTCCAAAACACACACAAATTTTCTCTTCATAACATTGTTTTCCTGAACACTGGGATTTTCAGAATGGTACACAGTAATGGCTTCAAATTTGAAATCCCCACTAGCATTAGCACAGAATAATTTGCGTCAGCCTGTCTTTCATAGGCTTGTGTCCTGGCATTGCTTTTCCTCTTGTGTAATGAAGGTCCTCTTTGGCAATTTTCCCTTTCCAAAAGAGGCCTGTTTCGTCCCCAATTGAACACTTGTTCAGGTTTCAGTCCTTCAGCCTCAATGTACTCCTGGAATTCATGCACATATTTTTCAGCTGCCTTGTGGTCCGAACTGGCAGCCTCACTATGCCTTACCACACTGTGTAAGCCAGTACGGTTCTTAAATCTCTCAAACCAGCCTTTGCTGGCCTTAAATTCACTCACTTCACCAAATATTTGCAGGCAATTTCTTTACCAAATCTTCATGCAAACTGCCAGCCTTTTCACAAATAAACGAAGTCATAAGAGTATCTCCTGCTAATTGTTTCTCATTTATCTACACCCAAAAATAACTTCAACCTCTTCAGAAATGGTGATCTCTTTTTTCAGCATAGTTACCCCCTTTTGCAACAACGCATCCTTTATTTCATTTTTTTTTGGACTAGGGAACAAAAGGTTGTATAGGGTTTCTTATACTCCTGGACATTGGGCCCACTTTTTCCACTTTATATTGTTCAATATGGTTTTTTTTTAAATTTAACGTAATTTTTCACCTCTTTACCAAGGCTTGGCACTAGGGCTTCTTTGGAGCCTGGGACTTATTTAGTACTTGCTAGCACTAAAATAAATGGAATATTATGAAAAAATTTCGCTGGAGCACGTGAGGGGACCTTTGCTCATGGTAAACAATCCAGACGGCTGCCGCCCTGGCTACGCCGGGGTACGTGTCCCCCGGGCGAACTACGACTCGCGAGTCAACCTATTAAAACGAGTCCATTTTATACGAAAATACCTCTATGATTGGCGAATTTTACGATTGCCGGAACTACGAAAAGCGGGGGGCCCTGTTTACACAAATTTTTGGAAGATCTAAATGGTGACTATTTAAAATCTGGAGCATAAGAGTTTGCCTTCAGGGGGCAGGGATTTTCAAGGTCCGTTTCTAACTGGGAAGAGAAATTAGAATCCTGCAAGGGGTTTACATCAGTACAGTACGTTTCTTTTTGATACATGTTGAATGTTTTAGATAATTCTGATATAGTATATGTTATATAAATGTAAAATATGTTATTCTCTGAAAGATATGACTGAAACAGTCATGAAAGGGTATCTACATAAGACATACGCTTATTTAGTCATGTATTTAATAAATATTGTCCGACCTCAATAAAAGATGCACATTTAGTTAATATACATTTTTGCAATTGAAGAACATGCAATATTAAATGCATTGTGTAGGAAAATACAGAAATATTTAACAAACATTCAATTAAGTTACATCAGCCAGCTAAATGGTCGCAGTAGTCTTGTTTGTAAGAAAACATGCTTGGCTCACTGAGTCACTTGATGCCCTCCATGTCCCCATCTAGGATGAAATGCTTTTTTTTTTTGTTCCATGCCAGCAGATATCTACTGTGTAGAGTAAGAGCTGCTGTATCTGATGGTACCTCTCCCCATCTCTTGGAGCTGCAGCTATCCTGGATAAAAGCTATAATCACTTTAAACAGGACAGGAAGAAGCTCTTAGAGCCTGGAATTTAGTTTGTAGGAATAAAGTAGCTTTCCAGATAGAGACTTGAAAGCACAACCATCATTAATTAATATAAATGACCATTATAAACTTACCTTGCTGATGAAATGCTAAGATTCTAGAGCTTTGCATTATATATATGGAAGGAAAGACATACAGTATTAATAAAATACAGGTCATACCTGTGTTTTTTTGTGTATAATAATGAACACTCAGTCAAGCCTTGTAGAAGAATATTTTACAAACACTACAAGCAAACATGCATTTCCATTACTTGTAATAATCATTATGAATGTTTAAGATAATGCTAAGCCCCAGTGTTTGAGTAAAATATGAAGACAGACACAGAATATACTTTTTATGTCATTAAATTATAAGTAATTAATATGAATGAGAGTCCACACAAGGAAGATAAATTTATGTTTTAATCCATAGAGTATTGTTTTCCTTATAATTAGGTCGTACAGTATAGAAGAGTTATCATAAGGAATTTTACACAAAGGACATTTTGATCAACTGAATATTAGCAAAAAAAAAAAAAAAATAATATAGTCAGCTATAGGATTTTTGAGTACTACTGTAGTTGGCAGGCTTTATATAAATTAATTATGTATCCCTAGTAGGCTACTTTATTATTTTGTCTTTTCTCATGCTTCAGTTTTTAACAATATCTTAATGATGTTGTTTCATAGTGACTTGAAATTTATATAATTTTTGCTCATAATACGAAATTACATGGGCATGCTAAATTAAAATTATGCGCGTGCACACACAAGCATGCACACACAGGTAGACAGAGACAGGTTACTCCAGAGAGGGGACACAGAAACAAGGGGTCACAATTGGAAGCTGAAGACTCAGACGAGTCATAGGGATGTTAGGAAGTATTTCTTCATTCATAGAGTCGTCAGGAAGTGGAATAGCCTAAAAAGTGATGTAGTGGAGGCAGGAACCATACATAGCTTTAAGACGAGGTATGACAAAGCCCTGGAAGCAGAGAGAGAGAGGACCTACTAGTGACCAGTGAAGAGGCGGGGCCAGGAGCTGTGTCTCGACCCCTGCAACCACAATTAGGTGAGTACACTTATATGCACACTCACTCTCACATACACATGTACACTTACATAAATGTGCACACTCTAGCAACTGGCTCCTGGAGTTCAACCCTACCAAATGCAAAGTCATGAAGACAGGAAGGGCAAAGAAGACCACAGACAGAATACAGTCTAGGGGGGCCAAAGAATACAAACCTCTTTCAAGGAAAAGGATCTTGGGGTGAGTATAATACCAAACATATCTCCTGAGGTGCACATCAACCAAATAATTGATGTAGCATATGGCGAACTAGCAAAACCTAAGAACAGGAGTAA